ATATATAAGTTTTTGAAGTTAATCTCACCGAAATGACGATTTCTTTGCCATTTTCGGCGAGAAACAGTCGGCCTGACTGTGAATCACCATTGGGCTTATAAATTGTTAAACAGGTAGTCTTAGGCCTACTGTTCACAATCTGCCCAGGCTTATTGTAATAGTAGTCGGCCCAAAATACAACAGTCGGATGTCGGCCAATAACCCTTTCATTTTTTTAATTTAAAATTTTTATAATTCTTTTCCTTTTACAATAAAATTATTTTTTTAATTTTAATTAAATAATATTTATATTCTTTATTTAATTTTCATAATTTCCATTTGTTTAATTTTTTTTAAATAGTTTTAAAAATTTTAATTATTTTTTCATATTGTAAATAATTTTTTTCAATTTAAAAATCTAAATTTTTTATGTTTTATTATTTTCTTTAATTTTTTTTTTATTTTTGTTTGTAATTCAATTCGCTTAATTTCTTAAAATTATACTCACTCCATTTAATTTTTTGTAGGATGGAATACCATCTAGTTGTTGAGTTGAGACAAATAGCGGGAAAATGTATGTGGAACTGTAGATGTGACAGTTTCACTACTGTGTTGGAGTTGCGGATGATCGGCACGCAAATATTCTACGTTAGTCCTTCGTGTGACCCCTGTATCAGATGAAAGAGGTACAGAACTCCAAGCATATCATTAATGCATAACTATGTCGGTTGTTTAGGCCAGTCGACGGNCGTGTGACCCCTGTATCAGTTGAAAGAGGTACAGTACTCCAAGCATATCATTAATGCATAACTATGTCGGTTGTTTAGGCCAGTCGACGGTGATGCCCTTTACTGCAACCTTGGAAGTAAGGTTGCTACTTTCTCCATATTTGAGTTTACGTGCTTGATTGGACGGAGTATAATGGACGACGAGGTAGCTACTGACGGTACTCAAAGAAGCAAGAGGCTGCACGATATGTATTCAGGGATAGGAGACGGTGCTTCTACTGTAGTTGATTAGCGCAATCCTAGAGTGCGACCAGATGTTGGATAGATTGAAGTTATGACTAGTCTACATCCTTGAGAGTTTGCTGAGGTGTCATCACAAGAAGACTGCGATCGACCTTTTCCATTTGGAAATTGTTGAAGACATCGATGCCTTCAACAACTATCCGTAGGGTCGGAGATATTTTCAGGACATCGTACACGTCTTTACCAGATCACACGTTTGTAAAAATAATTGTAAATATTGTAAATATTAATTATTTATTTGTGAAATAATTGTAAATATTGTAACAAATTGTAAATGCTGAAAATTAAATTGTTTACGTATTTGTGAAATAATTATAGATATTGTAAAAAAAATGCAAATATTGTATATTTAATTATTTTTATTTGTGAAATAATTGTAAATACTGAAAATTTATTTATTTATTTATTT